AAATGATATAAAGGCTACGTTAACCAGTTTGATGAAAATATTTCAAATTGTATATGAAAACACCACACTGTACCCCATGATTGCATTAATGTACACAGCTATCATTTAATTTAAAAAATCCAATTTTTAAAAAGAGGTAGGAAATTCAGTAATGTAAATAAATGGCACCTATTCATATCATAAATTCTGGTAACACAAAATGCTTTTAGGCAGCTCCTATGGCTCAAGGAGTAAGGCGCTGGCCCCATATGCCAGAGGTGGTGGGTTCGAACCCAGCCCCAGCTAAAAAAAAAAAAAAACCCAAAGTGCTTTCTCAGTATATTCATATATATTGAACATAATAAGTTCAGGCCTTTATATCTTTAGAGATTAAAAATAACTTTATATATTAAATGATCTAGATTTGAGGCCAGGCCCAGTGTCTCACAACTGTAATCCTAGCATTTTGGAAAGCCAAGGCATAAGAATTGCTTGAGGCTGGGAGCTTGAGACCAGCCTGCCCAAGAATGAGACTCCATATCTACAAAAAATAGGAAATTTAGCTGGTCATGGTGGTGTGTGCCTAAAGTCCCAGCTCCTTGGGAGGCTGAGGGAGAAGGATTGCTGGAGCCCAGGAGTTTGAGGTTGTGGTGAGCTCTATCTCAGGTGACAAAGACCCTGACTCAAAAAAAAAAAAAAAAAACTAGGTTTAATTTTTTAAGGAACATAGATAAGATTGAGAAAATGCTGAAAGCTAAGTATGTTATCCCCAAGAGAATTTACACAGAAAATTCACACATTTTTCAAAGGATTAAAGATTCCCTAAAGCTATCCCTGGAACCCAGATTAAAGATCCAATAAATTACAATCCTTCTCACATTTTAGGAGAGGAAACTTAGAGCCTATAGGTAAATCACTTTGACCAAATAAGGGCAGATCATGGCAAAGCCGGAGTCTATAACCAAAATTTTCAAATCTCTCAAACAATTCTCAAATGAGAGTGATTTTGCCCCCAAGGGGACTACAAGACAATGTCTAGAGAAATTTTTGGTTGTTTTAACTGGGAAGGATTGAATACACTGAGATATCTTGTAGGCAGAGGCCAGAAGGCTACTAAATATCCTCTAGTGTATATAATGGCCCCTTATGACAAGAATCATCTGCCCAAAATGCCAATAACGGGGAGACTGAGAAACCCTGCTCTAGGGCAACCTGTTTCTCTTGCTACTATACCACATAGTGCTAGTCACTGCAGTGCCATGGTAGATATGAAGGTGTGAAAAAGCAGTCTTCCCATTAAGGAATTCCTAATCTCCTAGCTGGAGTCAGATACACAAGAAAATGACATGGTAAATACCAAAGGAAGGATTCTTCCCCCCACCCCCAAGACATAGCCTCGCTTTGTAGCCCTTGGTAGACTGCCGTGGTATCACAGCTCACAGCAACCTCAAACTCTTGGACTTAAGCGATTCTCTTGCCTCTGCCTCCCAAGTAGCTGGGATGACAGGCACCAGTACAACGCCTGGCTATTTTTAGAGATGAGGTCTAGCTCTGGATCAGTCTGGCCTCGAACCTGTGAGTTCAGGCAATCTACCCACCTCAGCCTCCCAAATACTAGGATTATAGACGTGAGCCACTGTGCCTGGCCCTCAAAGGAAGGATTCAAATAAAATATTAAAAGTAATCTGAGGAGAAATATTTCATAGTTGAAGTGACCAAAATCACAGAGGAAACAGTTGAGATCACAAAGAGGTGATGTGCCGTTAAAAAAATTAGGGAGGGCCTTGGTCTTCAACTTTTTTTTTTTTTTTTTACTTGTTGAGGATTCATTGAAGGTACAGAGAACCAGGTTACACTGATTGCATTGGTTAGGTAAAGTCCCTCTTATAATTGTGTCCTGCCTCTAAGAGGTGTGTCATACACCATGACCCCTCCCAACCCCCTCCTCTCCTTCCCTCTCTCCACTCTCCCCTTCCCCGACTTCCCATCATGTACTAGGTCCTCATAACAGAATTGAGTACATTGGATTCTTGCTTCTCCATTCTTGTGATGCTTAACTAAGAAGAATGTGTTTCAACTCCATCCAGGTTAACACAAAAGATGTAAATGAATGGAGTAAAACTGAAAGCTTTTCCACATAGAACTGCAACCAGA